CACAAACTCTATGATTAACATTTAGAGATAAACACACACTCTGTGATTAATATTTAGAGATAATCAAACACTCAATGATTAATATTAGAGATAGACACACACTCTATGATTAAAATTTAGAGATAAACACACACTCTGTGATCAATATTTAGAGATAAACACTCTATGTGATTAATATTTAGGGATAAACACATACACTATTATTAATATTCTGAGATAAACATAAAGTCTATGATTAATATTTAGAGATAGACACACACTCAGTGATTAATATTTAGAGAAAAACACACACTCTGTCATTAATATTTATAGATGAACCCACACTCATTGATTAATATTTAGAGATAATCACTCATTCCATGATTAATATTTAGAGATAAACACTTAATCTTTAATTATTATTTTGAGATAAACACACACTATGATTAATATTTAGAGATAAACACACTCTTTATGATTAATATTTACAGATAAACACACAATCTATGATTAATATTTAGAGATAAACACACAATCTATTATTAATATTTGGAGATAAACACACACCCTATGATTAATATTTAGAAGATAAACAAACTATATGATTAATATTTAGAGATAAATACACACTCTATGATTAATATTTAGAGATAAATAAACTCTATGATTAATATTTAGAGATAAACACACACTCTACAATTAATATTTAGAGATAAATACACTCTGTGATGAATATTTACAGGTAAACACACACTCTGTGATTAATATTTAGACATAAACACACACTCTGTGATTAATATTTAGAAGATAAACACAAACAATATGATTAGTATTAAGAGCTAAATCCACTCTATGATTAATATTTACAGTTAAACACACTGATTAATATTTAGGGATAAACACACACTCTATGATTAATATTTAGAGATAAATACACTCTATGATTAATATTTAGATAAACACACAATCTATGATAAATATTTAGACATAAACACACTATGATTAATATTTAGAGATACACACACTATGTGATTAATATTTGGAGATAAACACACACTCTATGATAAATATTTAGAGATAAACACACACTCTATAATTAATATTTAGAGATAAACACACACACTATGATTAATATTTAGAGATAAATACACTCTATGATTACATTTCCCAGAATTCCTTTCAGACCAGGTTTCCCATATGCCCCCACGACTACATATCCCAGAATCCTCCGGGACCACATTCGCCAGAATCCTTCTAGACTACATTTCCCAGAATCGCTCGTGCACTACGTTTCCCAGAATCCTACGAGACCACATTCCACAAAATTCTTCTTCACTACATTTCCCACAATTCCTCATACGCTACATTTCCCAGAATCCTACTGAACTACCTATTTCAAAATCCACCTGGACCTTATTTCCCAGAATCCTCCTGGACTACGTTTCATAGAATAATCTTGGACTACATTTCCCGAAATTGCCTCAGGACTACATTTCCCAGAATTCCTAGAGGACTATGTTTCCTAAAATCCTCCTGAATCACATTTCACAGACTCCTCAGGGACTACATTTCCCAGAATTCCCGCTGGACTACGTTTCCCAGAATCCTGCTGGACCACAGCCCAGCCTGCTGCTCTAGGGATGTATCAGCAGTGTGTGTGTGCACCTGTGTTTCATGTTCTGTGTTCTGTGTTTGTTATATATCACGTATGCATTATTGTTTACAGTTTTTAGCAACATTTTAATGCCTGGTTTATTTCCCAGAGAAGCTTAGAGACAAAGCAAAAAGAAATAAATCAAATTGGAAATAAATCACGAATTAGAAACAAATTAGTAATTATATATAAATCAGGAACTAGAAAAAATCAGGAATCAGAAATAAAACAGGAAATAAATCACGAATTACAAATGAATCAGGAACTGAAAATAAATCAGAAATATCAGGAATTAGAATTATTGAGAAATTGTAAATAAATTACAAATTGGAACTAAATCAGGAATTGGAAGTAAATCAGGAATTAGAAATAAATGAGGAAATAGAAATAAAACAGTAATTGAAAATAAACAAGGAATTAGAAATAAAATAGGAATTGGAAATAAAACAGATATTAGAAATATATAAGCAATACAAGGAGCAGAGAAATAAAACATAATCTATTATTAATATTTAGAGGAAAACACACAGTCTATGATTAATATTTAGAGATAAACACATACTATGATTAATATTTAGAGATATACACTCTGTGATTAATATATTGAGATAAACACACACTCTATGATTAATATTTTGAGGAAAACACACGCTCTATGATTAATATTTAAAGATAAACACACTCTCTATGATTAATATTTAGAGGAAAACACACACTCTATGATTAATATTTAGAGATAAACCCACACTCTCTATAATTAATATTTACAGATAGACACACACTCTGTGATTAATATTTAGAAGACAAACGCAAACTATATGATTAATATTTAGAGATAAATAAAATCTATGATTAATATTTACAGTTAATCACACACTCTGTGATTAATATTTAGGGATAAACACAAACTCTGTGATTAATATTTAGAGATAATCACACACTCAATGATTATTATTCAGAGATAAATAAAATATAGGATTGATATTTAGAGATAAACACACTCTATGATTAATATTTAGAGATCTATGATTAATACTTACAGATAAACACATACTCTAAGATTAATATTTAGAGATAAATACACTCTATTATTAATATTTAGAGTTAAACACACACTCTGTGATTAATATTTAGAGATAAATACACCATATTATTAATGTTTAGAGATAAACACACACTCTGTGGGTAATACTTAGAGATAATCACACACTCAAAAATTAATATTTAGAGATATACACACTATGTGATTAATATTTGGAGATAAAGACACAGGCTGTGATTAATATTTATAGATAAACACACATTCTATGATTAATATTTAGAGATCAGCAGACACTCTATGATTAATATTTAGAAGATAAGAACACACTCTGTGATTAATATTTAGAGATAATCACACACTCAATGATTATTATTCAGAGATAAATAAAATCTACGATTGATATTTAGAGATAAACACATGATCTATGATTAACACTTAGAGATAAACACACTCTAAGATTAATATTTAGAGATAAATACACTCTATGATTAATATTTAGAGTTAAACACACACTCTGTGACTAATATTTAGAGATAAATATACTCTATGATTAATATTTAAAGATAAACACACATCTATGGTTAATATTTAGAGAAACACTCACTCTATGATTAATATTCAGGAGAAACACACACATATTTGATTAATATTTACAGATAAAAACACACTCTATGATTAATATTTAGAGAAAAACACACACTCTATGATTAATATTCAGGAGAAAAACACACACATATGATTAATATGTAGAGATAAACACACACACTATGATTAATATTTAGAGATAAACATACACACTATGATTAATATTTAGAGATAAATACAACTGTATGATCAATATTTAGAGATAAATACTAATCTATGATCAATATTTACAGATAAACACAAACTCTATGATTAATATTTAGAGATAAACACACACTCTATCATTATGATTTAGAGAGTAAAAAACCCACTCTGACATTATTTTTATTGATAAACACTCTATGATTAATATTTAGAGGTAAACACACACTCTATTATTAGTATTTAGAGATAAACACACAATTTATGATTAATATTTAGAGATAAGCACACACTCTATGATTAATATTTAGAGTTAAACACACACTCTGTGATTAATATTTAGAGATAAACACACACTCTGTAATTAATATTTATTGATAAACACTCTACGATTAATATTTAGAGATAAACACACACTCTATGATTAATATTTAGAGATAAACACACACTCTATGATTAATATTTAGAAAAACACACACTCTATGATTAATATTTAGAGATAAACACACTCTATTATTAATTAGAGATAAACACACAATCTATGATTAATATTAAGATAAACACACTCTGTGATAAACATCTAGTGATAAACACTCACTCTATGATTACTATTTCCAGATAAACACACACTCTATGATTATTTTCACTGATAAGCACTATATGATAAATATTACATATAAACACATACTCTATGATGAATATGTAGAAGAGAAACACACACTCTATGATTAATATTAAGGAATGTACACACACTCCATGGGTAATAGTAGAGATAAACACTCTATGATTAATATTTAGAGATAAACACACACTATATGATTAATATTTAGAGATACACACACTTTGTTATTAATATTTAGAGATAAACCCACATTGTATGATAAATATTTAGAGATAAATACTCTATGATTAATAATTAGAGAAAATACAACAATATGATCAATATATGGATTTTAGACATGGATCAGGATAGTGCCAGTCTGCACTTCCACTGATAGAGTGTCTGGGAAACAGGAAAGAACCTAAAAGATATGCATATATGCATAGTACCCAAGAGAAGAGGACTGAGACAAGATCCTCTGAATGGATGGGGAACACGGCGAGGGGTGGGGGGAGCGGGACCTGGGAAGAAGAGAGGGGGTGAAGAGGAAGAGAATTGGTCATGGGGGAACAGGAAGTTGAGGGGGTGGGGGTAGAATAGGGGGAAGAGGGAATCATAGGATAGAATACAGATCAGGCACCAGAGTGACCTCGAGTGATCTAAAGGAATAACACCAATTGGCAAGCTAAGCAATAGTGGAGAGACCACCTCGAATGCCCATCCCTGATAATGAACTTGATGTCCATAATCATCCGGGAGCCTTCATCCTGTGACTGATGGAAGCAGAGGCAAACACACAATTAATCACTGAACTGAACCCAAGGAACCCAGTGACAGAGAGAGAGGAGTGATGAGCAAATTGGCAAAGATTGGGCTGGCAAAACCAGCAGAGGCAGCTGATCTGAACAGGGGAGAGCTCTTGGACCCCAGACCGACAGTGGGGAGGCCAGCATGGGACTGATCTGGACCCCCCAAATGTGAGTGTCAGCGAGAAGGCCTGGGCAACCTATGGGGCCCTGAGCTGTGGATCAGTGTCTATCCCTGGAATACAAACAGTCTTCGTGTGCCTATAGCACAAAGAGGGATGCTCTCTCAGCCTGGACTCTTAGGGGAGTGCCTGGACCCTATCCAGAGTAAAATGACAGACTCTAGATATCCCCTATGTGGAAGGATTTAGCAATCGGGTGGGAGGGTGGGGGGGAAGGGGAGTGCGGGAGGAGGGGAGGGAGAGGGAACTGGGATTGACATGTAAAACAAGCTATTTAAAATTAAAATAAAAAATGGAAGAAAAGGAAAAAACCTATTTTAGACAGATTAGAGGATTGGTGTCACATGTTCTTTTGTATATGTTTCTCTTATTTGTTGATAAACAAAACACTGAGGATCATGTAGGCAATCATAAATGTAGACTGTGCTTCCAGTCCAGGAGAAAGCTGTGAAGAAGAAGAAAGAGAGAGAGGATGAGAAGGGATGGCATTCTATGGAATGTGTAACATGCCAGATAACGGAGAAGCCATAGCCTCGTTCCAATACATGGATTAATAGAAGTGTGTTAATAATTAAATCAGAGCTAGTAAATAAGAATATCAACATACCAGCCAAGAATTTAATAATTAATATAAGATATGTGTGTTTGTTGTGTCAAAGGCATTGGGACCAGGTAGCACAGAAATCTCTTTCTTCAAGATTCTTTATTCCTACCTCACTGCCTAACTACACACTTATCATCCATAGTCAACTATTATTCAAAGTTTTTTCATTCTATATACAGGGACCTACATTTTCCAGAACAGAAGTTCAGTGCAGATTCTGTTGGTGCAAGGGAGAATACAATGTCTCCAAGTTAAAGTGGAAAAAATTTATATATGAAATATTATCTCAAGAGAGAGTAAATAGTTGCTGTAGACTAGGTCTTTTATGTTGTTTGTGAAGGGTTAATAAGTTGAGTTACAAGAATCAAGTCAGCTGACTGACAAATCGACTAGTATACAAGAATTCCTGTGTTCAATCATCAGCACTGCTGTAGTTGTACCTTGATGTAGAAGTCTGTATCCCAACTGAAAGTATAGGAGGAGGGAATATATGAAGGACATGCTTAGGTATAAACTTAATTTTAGATTAACCAGATATATCTGACATCCTTAATCGAACATATAACCAAAATGTAATAAAGTTTAAAATAACAATCATAGGAACTTCATTTATTAGCTTGATTACTGTTGGTCTTTATTGAGAGATGTTGTCATGTGAATCAACATGGCCTTTAACTAGTGATCATAATTCATTGCTACACTACAGCAATGCTAACATCCGAGGCCTCTCTCCCCTTGCCTGATGAAATCAGTGTGTTGACAATGAAGTCAATACAAGCACACACACACACACAAACACACGCAATATTAATTTTTTATAAGAGCCATATCTTTTTTAATGAATATCCATGATTTCATGTTTTATTGATTATCAAGAGAGCTCACAAAAGAGAAAAACTGATGAGGAATTTGTAGGCCCCAAAATAATCACATGAATACATTTCCAAAGTTGAAATTTTCAAGAAATTATTCAAGCTGAGAATGTGGTACATCTCTAAAGTAGTATGGATTCATCACTTCATTTATGGACTATTGAAACATTTCACAAAGTGAACCTAGATCTTTCTATCTCAAAATTCCACAAATTCAATCATCTGGTTTCTCATATTATCCTGCACTTAAGTTTCAATCATATAAAATTTAATGGTAGACTTAGTGATATAAAATATTTTGCTTACTAAATTACCAATATTAGTCATCATGTACTGAAAATGAATCCAATTATTTGTGCAATAAAATATTTCAGTGACACTTCTATTCACCTTGAGGAAGAAGAAAATCAACACTAATCCAAACATATGCTTTCGAACTACTGGCATTTTCCAGGAATTTGCTTCCTTTTCTTTCAGTTAACTGCTTTCCCAAGGAACCTTTTCCCATCTTCTGACATGAAATCATCACTTAATTGGTAGTAATTATTGCAGTTCTTACTAATATTAAAATCCTGGCTGAAAATAGGCAGATCCATGTGCTTTCTAAGAACCATCTGCAGATGCCTATTATCCTGCAACTGTGCCCAAACTGGGGAATTGTATCTTTACAAATGGGACAAGAGGCAGAAATAGGATTCGTACAAGACATTCATCCCAATTTTGCAGGAGGAGGAGCCAATGCTCAATAATTTGTGTCATCTTTCCAGCCACTCAACAAATTCAGTTAGACTGCCTTATCCTGGAGAAAATATTCGGTGAAGCAAATGTGAATGTAAAGAAACGCACATTTCAAGGAAATGCAAAAACTGAAAACATTTAGCAGTTCTTGAATTTTTCTTGGGAATTGGTTGTCTTTTGTGAAAAGCATGGTGTCTTTTTAGTCAACTTGATACTCCTAAAAGTTGCTTTGTATCACTGCATTTCAGCTTTTGATCCTTGTTTTAAAATGTTTTAAATTGGTTACTACATACAACCACATTTTTCTGTGGTTCCTCTTCTCTAGCATAACACAAGCTGCACTCTCTCAAAAGTGAAGATTTTGTCCTGCTATAGTTATTCATTATCTAAAACTGTTTTCAAATAGATATTGTGAATATAATTAATGCCATAGCGGAATAGACATAGAAAGGCTTGTTTCTATAATATCACTTACTTGACCTGGACACATTAAGACTAACTGCACACAGAGATAACCTCTGTGCATCAGGTGCCAACCATTTATATCAGGCATGGGAGAGTGCAGTATCTCAAGCATCCCTGACATTATTATTATTATTACCATTAATATTATTGTTGTTGTAGTTATTATAATACTTATTATTATCACTAACAGCTTTTCAGCAGAGATTTTCTGTGCATTCTTGACTTATCTAGCACTCTATTTCCAGGTCGGTCTGCCCCCACTCAGAGATTCAACTGCCTCATCCTGTTATCTGTTGGGATTAATGACATGCAGATATTTTTGTTCTCACATTTCATTCTTTACCTAAGAAACTTGTCATGGACTCTATCAATGGTGACTAAAGTAGTTACTGTGCTTCACCCTAATGCAGAGAGTCCAAAGTATTTTTCTTCCTTCCCAGAGCTTGGATTACTATGCTGCCTCTCCTCTATGCTGACGAACTGCCAATGTCAGAAGATAACACTGATCGGGAGTGCAACTCTCGAATGCCAGCAGAGGACACTGATCGCGAGCACACCTATGGAATGCCAGCAGAGAACACTAACCGCGAGCATAACTTTGGAATCCTGGTCACTTCCTGAAGCCAACTGCCATTCCAGTTATTCGCTTGGGCTGCCGACAAGTGAACGGTCTTGGGAAGAAAAGCCTTTTACAAACACAATCGCTTAACTTCTTCCTATATCCAGTTGCCATTGGAGTTCAGGCTCCACCGGTGAACTTTCCTTGCCTGCAGAGAACACTGATCCGGAGCCTCTCTCCGGAAATTTGACCACTACTAGAGGCCAATTGTCACTCCAGTTCTTCGCTTGGCCTACCAGAAGTGTGCACAGGTATTGGGAAGTAAAGACTCCTATAATTACAATCACTTACCCAATTTTTTCTTGCCAGTTGACATGGGAAACGTCCTTCAAGGATCTTTGCCTAAGGTAAATGACTTAAGACAGTTTTCTCTGCTCAACTGTATTAGAAATTACCTGCTTAGATCAGTGGAGAGAGGCCTACGGGCATCAGCTTGGCTGTGGGCATTTGAGCACACATCGTGTTCTCTCAGCAACCAAGGTGCAAATGATGAGGTTTACACCTCAACCAAAAGCCTGGAATATTTGCCAACCAGTATTGCCCAGAAGGATTTGTCACATCAAATACAGCTGCCAAAGTCTGTGCCCACAATGAGGTTCAGAGACTCCCATGTGGACCAGGAGGCAGGCCAGAAATGCAGGTGGGTCTGGTTACCTGACTCTGGACATACAGGCAGTCAGCACTGTTTTGCAGGCCCTGAACTATTTACCGACAATCCAGACACTTCGGGCGCCACAAAAGATCTGAGTCAGGACAAGAAAGAAAAGAGACTACTCTTTTTGAAGGTCCCAGAGATCATGAGAAACACACTGAGCAGCGATCCCAGTCTATCTGCTTTTCATCCTGTCATCAGAAAAAGACCTAGTTCATATTTTCAACCCAGACCTGTGAAGGCGACAAGATCCTTGGATATGTCACTTCTGTTGGAAGAGAATGTGGATTGTTGTCCACTCTGCAGTGGAGTAGCTGCAAGGTCTTCAGGACCTGGACAAAGAGATGACAAAGCAAAGGTGACAGAAAACTATGAAGTAACAGCTGGACCATCTTCCTCTGATCAACATGAACTGGTAAACTCCCCATCAAATCAAAAGTCCATGAAAACTGCCCCATTTACTGATCAGGTTTTGAAATGTTCAAAATCTGTTCCAGGGGGTAGGGTCACCTCAACATTTGTCCATGGGAAGCAGAGATCTTCCAAATATCTGGAAGATAAACACAGATGTGTCCCCTCCACGGAACAGGGCTTAATTCCTTTTTCCTGTAGTGAAGGATACCATAAACATTCCATTAGTCTTGGAAGAAAACATAGGCAATCTCACACAGACCAGTCATGTCCAAAATCTACGAATCTAGAACAAAATGATTCTAAGCAATTGCCTTCTGCAATTAGCAATATCCGAAATTCAAAATACATTCAGAATGGACTGACCAGTAATTTTACATCAGTTCAAAGGTTAAAAAGTTTGGCATTTGATAAAGAGGATCCACCTTTCTGCATGAATACACAAGCAGATACTGGCGCTGACAAATGGGCGCAAGTTCCTAGACTAACTTTATTGAATGCACAAGGCCTTGCACATAATACATCTGATGAATGGGACATTGATATTACTCCTGGGAATAACTCATTTGTAGATATTAAATCATTCACAGAAGGGACACAGGATACTTCATGCTATCTGGGAGGGGCTATAGCACCACCCACATGTGAGGGAGTTCTAGATATTAAATCATTCACAGAAGGTACACAGGATACTTCATGCTATCTGGAAGGGGCTGTAGCACCACCCAAATGTGAGGGAGTTCTAGATATTACATCACTCACAGAAGGGACACAGGATACTTCATGCTATCTGGTAGGGGCTGCAGCACCACCCACATGTGAGGGAGGAGGTTTGGCTAATTCATCACTGTCAGAGAGGAATGTGGACAAATTTTGCTCTGGCCCTGGGAGTTTTGAGCCCTTGCATTTCAGTCAGGGGAGAGTAAAACTATCCATTCCTAAAGAATGGACATACAAAGATATGTCCCCCATGGAGGAACAGATACCACAAACTCCCTCTTACAACATGATGTCAAGATATTCCTTCACTAGGAGAAGTAGACTGAAACAGGAAACCATACCAAAAAGAAGCAACACTAGAACAGAATCAAATCTCAATGGCCAGGAGTTGCTAAAATCTGACCCAATAAATCCCCACCATCTCTTAAGAACTGACCATGTCCTAACAACAAACACTTCTGATGAATGCAACAGAGACAGTATTATGGCAGCACCTGTTCCTAAAAACATTCCTTCATTTTCTGAAGAGTCCCAGGTTGCATCAAACACTACTGGAGAGGCCTTAACACAATCCACAATGAAGGAGAGTGATCTGGCTGACACATCCTTTAAAGATGTGGCTGGAACACAATTTTGTTCCAATGCTACATTTATTGGGCCCTTTCATTTCAATCAAAAAACAGTAAGACTATACATTCCTGCAGAATGGAAATACACACATACTTCCTACCAGCAAGAGGGTATCACTCATTCCCACTCATACAAAATGAGGAACAGGGTTATTTATTCTAAGACAGGGAGATTGAAACAAGAAATTACAACACAAGGAAAATTCAATAGATCAAAACAAGGTCAAAATAGACTAGATTGGCTAAAATGTGACATTCAAACTCCCATTACCATCTCAGAAGCAAGGAGAAGGCAATCACCAACCATTTCTGATGAATGGGACACTGATACTATAATGGGGACACCTGAGTCTACAGAAAATCCTTCATTCTCAGAAGACCCCAAGGTTAATTACACTGTAGCTAGAGGAGACATTGCAGCATCCACAGTTGAGGGAGGATTCCTGGGTGATGATGTGCCCCCAGCGAAGGGGGCTCTGCCCCAAATTTGCTCCTTCCCTGACACTTTAAAGACTTTGGCATTTAATCAAGTGCCAAAAACACTCTCGAGACCTGCAGATTGTGAGGTCACACATATGCCCTCTCAGGTGGAAGAGCTGAGACCTTCGGCCTCTACCAAAGAGGGCCCCATGACCTCCTCTTCTATGAAAAGAGGCATGAAACAGGCAGACAAAGCACAAGGAAACCTCCGTAGAACACAGCCTGAGGACAATTGCTCAGGCCAGAAATCCTGTGTCCCACAAACTTCCACCTCGGCTTTAACATCTGAGACTGGCCCAGGGTCCAATACAGAATTTGAATGCAACGTTGACATTGTTCTAGGTAAATCTGGGTCTCTAGACATACGACTAATCCCAGCTCAGGCTCAGGTAACTTGCATCTCTACTGTCAAAACCCACAAACACAGTCCACAACTGAGAGAGGTGTTCTGGATGAACCCTCAACTACAGAGTTGTCTGTGGAAGCATTTGGCTCTTGCCAGGGTAGTTTTCTACCCTTGAATTCCACTCAAGGCCGTGCAACACAATCCAAACCTGCAGAGTGTTCGTACACACATACACCTAGCACAAAGGATGGTATGACACATTCTGAATCTTTCAAAGTCGATTCCAGATTCTCCTCCTCTGGGAGAGGCAGATGTAAACAGCAAGAAACAACACAAGGAAGCCTCAATATATCACATTCTGATGTCACATATTCAGGCAAATCTTACGATGAAGACCTACAACCACCCATATATGCCTTAAAATCAGAGAGAGGTGTCCCGCGCTACCGTCTCGCCAGCAAGAACGACACAGAACACTCGGATCCTTCTGCAGTAAAGCTTTAATGCATCTTGAGAGATAGATGATCAGCTTCTTAGAGGGAGACCCCAAGCTAAGAAACCCAGCCCCTTATATAAGCCTAGGAGCTCCGAGTGAGACGTGTAGAGCAGGGATTGGTGGTTTGCACATCACCCCAGATGACGCCACGGGAGAGGCACAGCTTAAACGGTTAACTCCAACTGACAGCAGATGTCAGCGCCATCTTCTAACGGCAATAGCGATAGCGAGGGCGGCTCCTCACATCTCCCCTATTCATTTATTTTTGAAGCAATAGGACACCCACAACTTTGGAGTGGAGATAGAGGTCAAATCCCCATGTGCAAATTCGGAACATGTACAAAGCTCCTCTCCAGGGTCTTATCCCCAGAGGGAGCCCTGACCAGTCCGATGTCGTTTTTCTGGGGGAAGGAGATCATGACATAGAACCTTCATGCAAGATGACTTATCTCCCAGGAGAAAGTCGTTATACCGCAGACCTCTCCTGTGCAGTGCTTAGCCTTGCAACTCCTTGGGCTGCTGAAGCCTACCCACTCTATCCCGTGCAATGAGACTAGCCTCGTGGGGTGCAAGAGCCGGGAGGCCAGCGACCTATTGCTTTAACATGGTTAACCAAATGTCAGGGAGGCTCCGTGTTCTAAGGCAGCAAGTGCTTGTGCCACCACCACTTTGTCTCTTTTGTTTGGGCTCTGAGCTTACACACCATCCAAAGCATCAACACTATTCCACAGCAGAGAACTAGGCTAAATGATCCTACCCCCACCCATTCCTTAAAATAAGAAAATGCAGATGAAATCCAGGAGGAGAGGCCTTCCATCAGAGAAAGATCCAGATGCGTCGAATTCACTTGCAGGATCGCCATTCTCAACTCATGGAGTGTCTGCTCAAACTCAAAAGTTCAATTCTGTAATAAATGTTGAGACAGAGCTTATGACAGGTTAGCTGCTCTTGTAAAATTCTCATATTGTACTGAAGTGACACAAAGGCCAGGCAACTTTTGTTCACATCCCAATTGGGCCATCTGCCACAATATATCCAATTGTTCCTGAACCAAATTAATCTGTTGGTTTACCAACATCAGGCCTCCTTGTATCTGAGAATTGGCAGTGGCCTGTTTATCTAGGGCCATGGTCACAGTGGCCGATAGTTCATTAATGGTTTGAGTTGTCTGCACAGTGGTGGAAAGTGCAAGGGCCGAGGCGGTAACCGAAGCAGTAACCGCGGCGGTGGCTATCAGGCCCACAATAATAGCAGAGATCCCAAAAATCTCGCTTTTCCCTAAACAAACTCAAACTACTTGGCACCTCAACAGGAACTGGAACAAATCGAGGCATGCGCATTACCAAAGCAAAAGGGTGCTTAATAGCATCCCAGCATAATGCATAAAAACAATTCTAAGCAGAGCAATTTATTTCTTTCTGATTCTTACCTAAGGTATCATTACTCACAACCCAAATAAAGGGCAGCCAAACACAAATTGGAGCAGCTAAATAATTAGTTCTCTTAAAGGGGTATACTTAACATTGGAGGAGGACCAATCAGATGATCCAGAGCTCTGTCCCTCACTCAGACTGTTGCCTAATGCCCCTTTCCAATCAAAAGTAATCTGTCCCTTCTCACTATATCCTCCAGCAATCATTGCCATAGGAGAAAGATCAGTACAGCTTCCATTAATTCAAAAGGATTAGCATTAGATCTTTCTGGATCCATATGAATAAAATTATCCTTTAATGAAGAAATCACAGTAAAGCACAAGCTTCCTACCAATGACAAGGTTCTCTCATCCTGAAAACTCTGTATCTGAGGATCTAAAGGCAAAAAGGCAAGCCCCAACTCTCTATTAGTTGTGAAAAATCTAGGGAACTCCTGGGCATTATGCATCACTGGCATCGGTAGGGGGAAGGTAGACATGATGGCCCACCGTAACTCTCCCATCATACTAGGAACCATCATCCCGAGTAGGAGAGTCTTCATCACCCACTTGGCCTCCATCCTTCTTATTCTGGAGTTGTGAAGGAGCTCTTCGAGTGAGTCTTTCAGGGATCCACAGGGGTTTTCTTCCTCCTGTGGAAAAACACACACAGCTCCCCTGGATCTTATAAGAATAGGATCCGGGCCTTTCCAGAGATCAGTCAAGACATCTTTCCATTTTACCATTTCTTTTGGCCTATCAGGCTCTAAACTGTGGCGATCAGCCCCAGTGTGGCCTTGGGCATCAGAGTTCAAGAAATTAAGGGTAAAAAGTGCCATGGACACAGCAACTCTTGGTACCGAGGGTAGAACATCCTCAATACTCCCCTTTTGTTTAATCAGATATGATTTGAGTGTACGATGGGCACGTTCCACAATGCCCTGTCCTTGAGGGTTATAAGGTAGGCCAGTTAGATGGGTAACATCCATTTGCCGACAAAACTGTCGGAATTTTTGAGAGGTATATGCTGGTCCATTGTCTGTTTTTAAAATTCTGGGTTTTCCCCAAGCACTCCAGGCCTCAAGGCAATGTTGAATCACATATGAGGCCTTTTCCCCTGTTAGGGGCGTGGCGAACATTATGCCAGAACAGGTGTCAACAGAAACATGAACATATTGAAGCCTTCCAAAAGAGGGAATATGAGTAACATCCATCTGCCACATCTGCAATGGTCTAATGCCACGTGGGTTTATTCCCACGTGGGGAGCAGGTAAGAATTCGCAGCAATTCTGGCATTGAGTAACAATTTCCCTAGCCTCTTTCCTGGATAGAGCAAAACGACGGCGCAAGGTCTCAGCCGTCACATGAAAGCGCTGATGGAATTCTTTTGCTGCTTGTGCATGGGTAGACAAGGCAGCGGCCACCAGCTTTGTAGCCTTGTCCGCTAAGTCATTCCCTAAGGACATGGGACCTGGGAGTCCAGAATGTGCTCGGACATGGGTAATGAAAACAGGAAATCTCCTATTTAACAAGGCAGCTTGTATCTTCTGAAAGATGTTAGCAACTCTGCTGGAGGATCTTATTATTCCAGCTATCTCAAGGAGATTAACTGCATTAACCACATAAGAGGAATCTGATACAATATTGAGGGGTCCTGGAAAAGCCTCAAGAACCTCCAGTACTATCAGACATTCTACAACTTGAGGTGAAGTTTCATTATATTGTTTAGATATAACCCTATCCTTGACCACATAAGCTCCCATACCAGTTTTTGATCCATCAGTGTACACCACAGTCCCATCTGGGAGTGGGTCTTTAGCTGTCACTTGTGGAAACACTATAGCCTGGTTTAGGGCAAACTGTAAAATTGGATGCTTTGGAAAATGATTATCAATTTGTCCTGAAAAGGAAGTAACTAAAACTGCCCAATCACTAGATGTGGCTGCCAAGGTCTGAACTTGTGCAGCAGTATAAGGCACAATCAAGGAATCAGGATCCCTGCCAAAATGTGTAACAGCTGCTTTTATTCCGCGAAGCGCAGAGCTGTGCAACAGCATCAGGGTACCAGTCAATAATCTTAGCAGGGGAAGCATTTGGATGAATCCAAAGTAATGGTCCATGTTGCCACAGGACTGCAGTTGGCAATTGAGCTGTCTTAAAAACACACAGATTAAAAGGTAGTGACTCCTCAATACGTTGTAATTGTGCTTCCTGTAAGGCCTCTTCCACCATCTGTAAGGCTCGGTGGGCGGCAGGGGTAAATTTTCTGGGTGAGGAGATATGAGGCTCACCCTCCAGGAGATCGAAGAGGGGTTTTAGATCAGCAGATGGAATTTTTAAAAAGGGCCTCAACCAATTTATATCTCCCAGAAGTTTCTGAAAATCATTTAATGTTTGTAAGTGGTCTTTGCGAATTTCTATTTTCTGAGGAACTATATTTTTGGGAGTAATCATTGAGCCCAAAAAGAGGCCTGTATCTGCAATTTGAACCTTTTCTGAGGCAATCTCTAATCCCCACTGTTTTAATTCAGCCACCAGCATGGGAAAAGCCTTTTGTAAAACATCTAACTCTTTGTGACAAATAAGAATATCGTCCATATAATGGATAACGATTAAAGATGTAAATTGCTTCCTAATTGGCTCCAAAGCCTCCTGCACATACAGCTGACATATTGTTGGGCTATTGGCCATGCCTTGCGGCAGTACCTTCCACTGAAATCTCTTGTCTGGTTCCATATGATTAAGAGAAGGGATAGTGAAGGCAAACCTTGGTCTATCCCGTGGGTAAAGTGGAATAGAGAAGAAACAATCCTTAATATCTATAATAATAAGCTTCCAATCTTGAGGAAGTGCAGAAAGCAAAGGAAGGCCTCTTTGAACAGGGCCAAAAAGATGCATCTGATTGTTAATGGCCCGCAGGTCGTGGAGTAATCTCCACTTCCCAGATTTCTTCTTAATAACAAAAATTGGTGTATTCCATGGGGAGGTTGAAGGCTCTAGATGCCCCAGCCGTTCCTGTTCTTGCACTAATCTTGTGACAGCCTCTAATTTTTCAGAGGATAGAGGCCATTGAGAGACCCATAACGGCTCCTCTGTTTTCCATGGTATGGGTCGTGAAGCCTCAACGGCCCCTAAATAAAACCCAGTCCTTTTCTACCCCGATTTCCGTGTTGCGTAATGGGTTTTATTCTGCCTTGTTCTTGCCTACCCAAGCCTCTACCCTTTGTATACCCCATCTTTGCCATAATGGCTGATGCCTGGGGGAGTATTCATTAGTTAGGGTCATGCCCATGGCTTGTAACACATCCCGTCCCCATAAATTTACAGGGAGTGGCAACACATAGGGGTAAAACATCCCTGTTTGCCCTCAGCATTCTGCCAGGTTAAGGCTGAGGCACTGATGGCAGGAGAGGACTGGTATCCAAGACCTATGTAGAGAATGAGATGAAACAACAGTGGGCCAAGACTTCGGCCACCAATGGAGTGAAATAATGCTTTTGTCTGCTCCCGTATCCATTATC